CAAACTAAGGACTTGATTCTTGTCTAGACAGTGACAGTCTACAGAAAACTATGTACTCGACAGTCAACAGCAAACTAAGGACTTGATCCGTGTCCAGACAGTGTCAGTCTACAGAAAGCTAGGTACTCGACAGTCAACAGCAAACTAAGGACTTGATCCGTGTCCAGACAGTGATAGTTTCAAAGCAAACTAAGGACTTGATCCTTGTCTAGACAGTGACAGTCTACAGAAAGCTATGTACTCGACAGTTTACAGCAAACTAATGACTTGATCCGTGTCCAGACAGTGACAGTTTCCAGAAAACTAAGGACTTGATCCTTGTCTAGACAGTGACAGTCTACAGAAAGCTATGTACTCGACAGTTTACAGCAAACTAAGGACTTGATCCGTGTCCAGACAGTGACAGTTTTCAGCAAACTAAGGACTTGATTCTTGTCTAGACAGTGACAGTCTACAGAAAGATATGTACTCGACAGTTTACAGCAAACTAAGGACTTGTTCCGTGTCCAGACAGTGTCAGTCTACAGAAAGCTATGTACTCGACAGTTTACAGCAAACTACGGGCATGATCCGTGTCCAGACAGTGTCAGTCTACAGAAAGCTATGTACTCGACAGTTTACAGCAAACTACGGGCATGATCCGTGTCCAGACTGTGCCAGTTCCAAGCAAACTAAGGACTTGATTCGAGTCTAGACAGTGACAGTCTACAGCAAACTTTGGACTTGATCCGTGTAAAGACGTTGACAGTCTACAGCAAACTATGGACGTGATCCGTGTCCAGACTGTGACAGTCTACAGCAAACCATGAATTTGATCCGTGTCCAGACAGCGTCAGTCTACAGAAAGCTATGTACTCGACAGTTTACAGCAAACTAAGGACTTGATCCGTGTCCAGACAGGGATAGTTTCAAAGCAAACTAAGGACTTGATCCGTGTCCGGACAGTGACAGTCTACAGAAAGCTATGTACTCGACAGTTTACAGCAAACTAAGGACTTGATCCGTGTCCAGACAGTGACAGTTTCCAGCAAACTAAGGACTTGATTCTTGTCTAGACAGTGACAGTCTACAGAAAACTATGTACTCGACAGTCAACAGCAAACTAAGGACTTGATCCGTGTCCAGACAGTGTCAGTCTACAGAAAGCTAGGTACTCGACAGTCAACAGCAAACTAAGGACTTGATCCGTGTCCAGACAGGGATAGTTGCAAAGCAAACTAAGGACTTGATCCTTGTCTAGACAGTGACAGTCTACAGAAAGCTATGTACTCGACAGTTTACAGCAAACTAAGGACTTGATCCGTGTCCAGACAGTGACAGTTTCCAGAAAACTAAGGACTTGATCCTTGTCTAGACAGTGACAGTCTACAGAAAGCTATGTACTCGACAGTTTACAGCAAACTAAGGACTTGATCCGTGTCCAGACAGTGACAGTTTCCAGCAAACTAAGGACTTGATTCTTGTCTAGACAGTGACAGTCTACAGAAAGCTATGTACTCGACAGTTTACAGCAAACGAAGGACTTGTTCCGTGTCCAGACAGTGTCAGTCTACAGAAAGCTATGTACTCGACAGTTTACAGCAAACTACGGGCATGATCCGTGTCCGGACAGTGACAGTTCCCAGCAAACTAAGGACTTGATCCGTGTCCAGACAGTGTCAGTCTACAGAAAGCTATGTACTCGACAGTTTACAGCAAACTACGGGCATGATCCGTGTCCAGACAGTGTCAGTCTACAGAAAGCTATGTACTCGACAGTTTACAGCAAACTACGGGCATGATCCGTGTCCAGACTGTGCCAGTTCCAAGCAAACTAAGGACTTGATTCGAGTCTAGACAGTGACAGTCTACAGCAAACTTTGGACTTGATCCGTGTAAAGACGTTGACAGTCTACAGCAAACTATGGACGTGATCCGTGTCCAGACTGTGACAGTCTACAGCAAACCATGAATTTGATCCGTGTCCAGACAGCGTCAGTCTACAGAAAGCTATGTACTCGACAGTTTACAGCAAACTAAGGACTTGATCCGTGTCCAGACAGTGATAGTTTCAAAGCAAACTAAGGACTTGATCCGTGTCCGGACAGTGACAGTCTACAGAAAGCTATGTACTCGACAGTTTACAGCAAACTAAGGACTTGATCCGTGTCCAGACAGTGACAGTTTCCAGCAAACTAAGGACTTGATTCTTGTCTAGACAGTGACAGTCTACAGAAAGCTATGTACTCGACAGTTTACAGCAAACTAAGGACTTGATCCGTGTCCAGACAGTGTCAGTCTACAGAAAGCTAGGTACTCGACAGTCAACAGCAAACTAAGGACTTGATCCGTGTCCAGACAGGGATAGTTGCAAAGCAAACTAAGGACTTGATCCTTGTCTAGACAGTGACAGTCTACAGAAAGCTATGTACTCGACAGTTTACAGCAAACTAAGGACTTGATCCGTGTCCAGACAGTGACAGTTTCCAGAAAACTAAGGACTTGATCCTTGTCTAGACAGTGACAGTCTACAGAAAGCTATGTACTCGACAGTTTACAGCAAACTAAGGACTTGATCCGTGTCCAGACAGTGACAGTTTCCAGCAAACTAAGGACTTGATTCTTGTCTAGACAGTGACAGTCTACAGAAAGCTATGTACTCGACAGTTTACAGCAAACTAAGGACTTGTTCCGTGTCCAGACAGTGTCAGTCTACAGAAAGCTATGTACTCGACAGTTTACAGCAAACTACGGGCATGATCCGTGTCCGGACAGTGACAGTTCCCAGCAAACTAAGGACTTGATCCGTGTCTAGACAGTGACAGTCTACAGCAAACTTTGGACTTGATCCGTGTAAAGACGTTGACAGTCTACAGCAAATTATGGACGTGATCCGTGTCCAGACTGTGACAGTCTACAGCAAACCATGAATTTGATCCGTGTCCAGACAGCGTCAGTCTACAGAAAGCTATGTACTCGACAGTCTACAGCAAATGTACCTCAGTATCTATTGGACACATATTAATAATCACCTTTCAATGATCCACCAATGGATCAGTGCTGACAACAGGGTCATTAACAAATTCTGAAATCTCTGCAGTCACGTTGATGGATTCGGAAATGTTTCCCTCCTATAAATGTATTACTACGCACAATCACTGACTTACTGAGGTAGTTCTTTATAGATTTCAGCATACATGGGCTCATGTCACCTCTTCTTTTGAGGAACTACATTATTCTGGGAAGCGGGTTGTTGTATGTCAGTGTAAACATGAAGCCACACGTACCACATGAAGTTGTGTATAGATCCTTCGAGAAATATATTGGAGAATTCCCATTCACGTTGGGTGAGTCTATTATAGTATGAACCTTCATGAAGTGGGGCCCAGTCTTTGTAAGCTGTGACAGCCATACAGTTTGTCTCTCTCTCTATGAAGGTTCATACTCCAATGAACTCACACAAAGTGAAAGTCAGTTCTTAAACAAATGCCTTATACCATATATTCAGCAATAGTGGAATGATCACATTTCTATCTGTCATACTGCTATAGTACAGCGCAGGTATAAGAGTCTACGAATATAGAATGTTTGTACATTGCACAAAGACAAGATTACCTGGATGTTACATGTGACGAAATACCGATGCCTGTGACAACAATCATAAGATGATGGTAAACTGATATGGTAGCGTGACTGATGTACCGTTCTTCACAAATGATACACACTGTACCAAAAACGTAGGGGATAGTGAAAAGCATCAACACATATCTTCTGATCAACATGGTATTGGCAAATGGAAATGATCTGATCATATCAGCTGGGGAGTAAGCAAACACATCTAATGGGTTCTAATGGTTGGTGTGTAGGATGGTGGCGTACTAGGCCGTTAGAGAGGTCGGAGGTCAAACGCCAGTGGCCAGACATGCATGAATTCGTCGAGGCATGCTTCTGATGATTCGACCAATGTCAGCTTGACTCATGTTGTTCTCCTCATGGAGCAAGACAGATCGAGTTCATAGAAATTGGGGAGTGGATTTTGACGTGCAAGTCTGCCAATGAGGTCTCAGAAGTGTTCACTGGGGGGAAAGGTCAGGACATCGTGCTAGCCATGTTGGAGGAACCGGTTCACAATCCTGTCACTGTGAGCACGTGGATTATCTTCTTGAAAAATGAACGTTGCCCAACACGGTGTACAAATGGCCCCACGAGTGGTGCAATGATGTTGTCCTGATAGTATTGCATGTTCTTTCTGAGGTCACGTGCATGACTGTCACAATTTTGTGTTTTAGGAGCTTGATTTCGGAAATGTTCCTGCACATATATCACTGACTTTTAATGCCAGACATTGGTGTAAAAAAAGACAAAATATCCTGTAGTGTATTTGCATAGTATATGGAATAAGCAGATACGTATTTGCAAGTCTGACTGTTTTTTATGTATCTTTTTAGTTCATTTAGTCCTTTCTTGAATGAGTGATGGTATATCCCCATGTTATGGGTTTTAGGACGCTTTTGAAACAGTCGTAGTTTTTTTCTCTAACCATTCTCTAACCGCACGAACAACTGTAAAAAACCATCTCATTCGTTCATAAAAAACAACTTTCTCTTAAAAAACAAGCCATCATCTGAGTATTTACAATGTATGTGTGATGCTACAACCTCGTGATAGCGCGAGTAATCGCTATAAACATAGCCGTCCGAAAACGTATGACGTCAGAAAACCAATGATCCGACAATACTTGTAACTTAATAGTACAGATTGTTTGGCCAGTCTCGATTGTTTACGGACCGCCTTCATATAGCTGGAGTATTGCTGACCGCGGCATTAAACTCCAAAAAACACACAACAGAATAGTATAATTGACTCTTGCCGAGTTCAGCCGATATTTCTTAGGATATCGATTGGGCGCTTTCATTTGTTAAGGTGAAAGATCATGGTCAATTTCATAACGGCAAAGTTTATATACGAGATAATATCTGTAACTACAAGTATCAATACTTAGATTAAAAGATTGTACATACGTTGTGATTTTTCGCCATGAACAACTGTCATAACACACACCAGTATGAGAACTTGAAGATGCGAGAACATTGTTCTCTTCCACCCAAACGATGTACACAATCTGAAAATATAGGGTTTCCTTACAAATATCAACAGCAAGAAAATCATTTCTGTCGGTTGAAACTAGCTTGTTTGTCAATGATGATATACAAATATGAATAAATGAGTCCAGTTTAACCTCGTTATTAATATCTCAGAGGAGGGCAAGGGCAATGGGCAAGAGATATAATACCTTTTAGGTGTCATCATCACTCTTTCAATTATGTAATTATATTGTGAATCGAGTAATTAGAAACAATTACATGTACAGTCAAATAGAAATAAACATATTTACAGATAAATATACATGCGAAATTGCAAAATGTGAAAATGGTACTTGCTTGCCTTTTCAAAACAGTCCAATCCTGAAAACGTCGTTAGAAGACTAGTGACAGGTTAGTGCACAGCTGAAACTACCCGACTACCCAGTCTGTCGGGTTATATATACCTACCCTGGCCTCGCCCACAGCTTCCGACCTGGCCATTATCAGCTGTGTCATAAAGTGTGTTGCTACAAAGTAAGGACGGGTATAATAGCTGAACTCTATAACGTCATGTCCACAAATGTCGGAACGTACGAAGGTGCATGTAGGACACAGGCGTTGTTGTGCATAAAGGTACATGTCAATAATGGAAGTCTACAATTGACTCATATCCTGCAACTGTTTTTCAATTTATTCGAAGTCGAAATGATGAGAGAGTACTGGAAGGCCAACAATACCATACTGCAGGGCGTCCACACTCACGGAAACTACCTTCAATAACAACTGAAGCAACTAATAGTTATCAAATACACCAATCATGTGATAGCGATACACAAACTATAAACTCATATGAATGCCAGTGAATACCATTGAGACACCGTCAATCCTCATTTCTGTCTCTTTCTTATAAAATGACACGCTATGTCCAGTACATACGAATATGTATTTACAATCAGCGTGAGGGAGTGAGTATTTTGGCATCCATGGAAATGAGACTGTTGTCCCGGGGAATGCACGGGGACCGTACTACATTAACATGTTAGAAACCATTGAATGTGGGTGCGGGTGGCCCAGTCGTCGAAGGCGCCGCAATTCATTGGGCAGAGATGCGTCCTTTGGGCACGCTAGAAACCTATGGTTGTGGGTTCGAATCCCTGATTATGTTTCTAGGTTTGCCAGCACCATACCCGTGCTCGTGGGTAACACAAAATTGGTAAACGTCTGAGACCTGCATCACTTCGGCCTTTCCTCCCACATTAAGCTGACACGCAGTGATGTAACTCGAATACTGTTAAAAACGGCGTTAAACCCAACCCAAATTCACTCATCAGTTTCATGTTGAGCTCCATAACGGAGCGTCATACGCATGGATTTGCGATTAATATGTACTAGACAATAACCAATGTGTACATAATGAAGCTCTAATGTGCGTACGTAGCAGCTTATGTGATAATGTCATAACAATGGCTGATCCAATACAGAAATCACTAACACAGCCGTATGAAGAAACAATGATATATAACAGCACATTCAACATTTGAAAACATTGAGGATTCGACCTACAATGCTTTGCCTTTACTGAATTGTTCTGGTGCCGTGAAACGTATGCCTCCGTCATCTGCCTCTTGACATGGGCAGCACGACCCTTGTGTAAAACTCGCATGTTTTCTCCACATGTGTGTGATAACGAAATAAGTGTTGTGATTGAGTGTTTACTCACAATACGATTCATGCGTCAGACTATCACATATTTAGAGATAATGGTTGATAAAAGTTAATTGCATACGATCCTTTCTTTACACGTTTTTTCTCAATATAACAAAAATACACCATTCAAACTGTCCAGCAACGTATCTTACGACTGTAGTCTTCCCACTTCTCAATGCACGTCACATGCTTTATGCATACTTCTAGCTGGGTTTTCACATATCAATGAGTATTACATTTAGCTTTACTTTCGCATCAGAATGTTGGAATAAACGCGATCTATCTCTGTAGACATGCAAACAAGTTGTACAAGTATATACCAAGAGCTAGGACATGGCACCTGCGAGGCTAAGAGTTTTTTTCAGTTCAGATTTACAGTCGCGAATGTTCTAATCGTGTCATACAATGTTGTTTTGTGGAATGATTGAGTTTGTTACATATGGCACACATGGTATGATAACCATCATGTTAGTGCTGTCATTACATGTCTCAACCGTTTTTATCTGTAAAATAGGCCCTGGGTAGAGGAGAGACGACCGCATATTACTCTTCACGTACTTCAGATTTACAATCTCTGAATATAATACATAACAAGCTGGACATAAATACACCTTGAATAATGTCAGGTACCGCATGTATCCATTCCACAGCAGATATCAACTCACTTGTAAATCTATATCTCATATATTATCTTGTGGGGGGTATAACGACTGAACCAGTATATACATACATTAATATGTAGTTGTTTAAGAGATAATACACAAATAGTGGATAAATTAATGGGTTTCCTGGTGTATTTTATAAAGGTTTCCTGGTAGTAAGAGGTGAACATGACGTTCATGACAAGTAGGATTAACTGTAGGTTCGTGAAGAAGAGTCGCCGAGCTGCACGACGTTTATTCTTATTCACAAGCCGACTGTTAATCCTGGGTTCTTAACTTACAACACATCCCTACTTTCTCAAACCTAAAGTATGTCCCTACTTCCAGACGTTTACAAAACATTCTTTTGTGGAAAATATTTTGAAAAATGGACACGACTCTTTGTAATCTGTTTTTATATTGTGTGAGGTCTCTGCGTGATGCACGGGGGATATGTTCTCTGCAGGTGTTGCACGTGCACCGTCTCGTCGCGCGTTGATCTTCACGATGCAGTTGTGACGCCTGAAGATCCGGGTTAAAATAGGTCTTTAGCACCCCATGCTTGTCGTAAAAGGCGACTAACGGGATCGGGTGGTCATGCTCGCTGACTCGGCTGATGCATGTCATCGTATCCCAATTGCGTGGATCGATGATCATGATCCAGACTCGATTATTAACAGACCGCCGTCATATAGCTGTAATTGTTGCTGAGCGTGACGTTAAACAAGAAACAAACAAACAAACAAACAAACGATGTAGTTATACAAGGATCTCAAATATTACGTGGATCTCTAAACGAGTATTTTATCAATTACGTGTAGGTTTTGAAAACATGCTGACGTGGACTACAGGAAGTCTAGAGACGTGGAGGGGTGTTATATTATGGTTATCTGTTTCTCAGCTTTTCTCTTCATATGTTTATTTAATAACTCTAACACGAACATCGTTACAGGTAAAAAAATCATTGTGTAACACGAAACACATAATAGTTTCAACGGTTTTAAGGGTCGTACAAATATTAGAAAATATTTAATTGTTAATATAACATCTTTCTGCCATGTGTCGCTGTAGCCTATGTTTACTGTTACACGTCCACCTCATACCATGCGAGATCGAACCCCGCTTGCGACACATGATTACCGACAAACGCGTAAGGCATAATATCAAAATATACAATAGTTCCATCAATTACAAGTTCATAACAGACAGCCAAATTGTCAATTCATTACAAATAATGGATCGGTTAAACAGCCCTAGTCAAGTATAAGATTTTGACGACTATTATTAGATAGATTTCAATCATTATTTGCTGTTAGAGTTGAATAATGTTGCTTTAGATGTTTAAACATTATCCGTTGACCATCAGCTGTGTGTATGCACACAACATTAAATACATATCTCGTTTCATGCATCTGTTTCTTATGCGTCACATTGGATCACAGATAAGACTGATCACCTACCAATGTGTACCACACCCTCTGGAAACACTTTGTGCCGCGTACATTGATACATATCATATCAATAGGACACTGACGGATTACAGACGGTCCACTGTGGATAATATCTAGTTGCGCCGCAAATAAGATATAGGTTGTGTCTAGAAACCGAGCAACGCCGCCCACACAGCAGACTGGGGTGTGGAGGTTAGTCTTATCTGACACACAACAGTAAATTACATTAAATTAAATCTACATGTATTTGCAGATCAGATAGGGGTCGACACTTTGTATGACAGTGACGGCAGCCCGGGGCAGGTGATATGGTGCAGACAGCATCCTATAGAACATTGTTGTTTGTTTCAGAAAGATCTGTTGCTATGTAGAAATATATTAGTTGGTTTGATACAATTGTTTCATTTTGCTCTGATTATGTGATATTTTCATGGTGGCTAGAAACGTCTGTGATCATACTGTTCTGTAACGTGTTCCCCGTGGGATTTCTGGGGGAACATAGACCCTCATGTAGTACCGCAATGCTATCGTAAGATTTGACGTAAATTGAATCCAATCGCTCACTCACTCTCCGCTTCTGTCCCTCTCTCAAAATACAACGAAAATGAAAGAAATTAAACGATCCTATACACACTGTAGCAGAGTTTTATATTTACTTATATTGTATACATTAAATAACTTGAATACATTGAACATAAACGCTCTGTCACGACTATCTGTATATGTATGCCAAAAGATCTAGCAGACTGAAGATCAAAACGTTGACAGCAAAAGGATCTACTCAGATAAATTCAGTGATAATTTCCATCATGTTTACTTCTCTTAGTTTGTTATTTCCTCATAAATCTAGACCACAGATATTACTATAAGGTATCAACCATTTAATATTTGGGTGTTGGTGATAGAGTGAGAACAGCATTTCTTAATATTTAGGAGACGATTTTTTTTTCAACATAAGCCGGTTATCAACTATATTTTTAAATGAATAAAAATAACGTCACATTTGATATGTAAGGTCTGGGGTTGGGGTTATGGTCGGGTGGGTGGGGGTTGGGGAGTTTGGGGGGTTGGGGTAGGGGATGTGTTTTTTTCTTCATTTTTAGGTGCTGAGACTTTTTTTCTAGATTAGAGGGTACACGCTGAATGTTTGCTGTATACATTAAACAGAAAAAGGAGATAGAATTTCTGTGCACTTAGGAAACATATTGAAACAATTAGGTATTTTGGATAAATGAAGTTTAAAGAAACCAATTGAAGTGGTTTGCATTATAACAATACCACTGAACGTCATGGAGCTTTTGACCTCAAAAACGTTTTTAAAATAGTGACAATATTGAAGTATAAACGTACAGTAAAATGCATTTCTCCAATCACAAAGATCAGTTTTGCCTCAGATTGGTCAGGATTTTCACACACTCACTTACATCATTACCAAATAGAAACAGGTGACACCAGGCCCATTAGACTTCCTTTGTATAAGCATGAGCATCGATCCATGCAATATGGATCGATGACGTGCATCAACCAAGTCAGCGAACCTGACCACCCGATCCCGTTAGTCGCCTCTTACGACAAGCATAGCCGCCTCTTACGACAAGCATAAGCATAGCCGCCTCTTACGACAAGCATAGTCGCCTTTTACGGCAAGCATGGGTTGCTGACGATCTATTCTTCCCCGGAACTTCACGGGTCTAAAA